GGCTTGAGCTGGGATCCCCAGCACCAGAAGATTAGGAGGCTTGGTAATTACTGCCCCCAAGTTCCTCAGGACGTTGATTCCCGTTGGGACTCTGGTGCAAGCCAGAACATAGCAGAGAGTAGATCTTAAAAAAGTTCAGTGAAGGGTACCATGCCAGACTGTCTTGATCCCATCCCAGTCCAGCTGTGGGACCCAAGCCCACTCAGGGTCCCGGAATTGAACACCAGCCCAAGTCAGGGAGGTTGGTGGGAATAAAGAAGGCACTGCTTTTCTTTCCTTCTCTTTAACATCATGGCCTTGCTATGTTGCAGCACAGTCAATTACAATGTTGTGATTGTTGTCAGTATACAGCCGCTTGATTCAGGTATGACATATCTATGCCGGATCTGGATTCTTTCTTGGACATTTTGCCATAAAAGTCAAGCTGATTGCTAAGCATCAGGTCTTTGTGGATAATGTATCTCAGGTACAGTGTTTTGCGTATACAACAAAGGAAGGAAGGATATAATTTTTGTGGATTATCTTCTAGAAACACAGATTTCTGTTGTATAGGTTAGAGATAATGGATTTCTGTGTACGTGTGTAAGGAAAGAAGGAAGGAAGAAAGGAAGAGGATAATCCGTGTGCATTATCTATTACAGGTACAGATTTCTGTATCTGTGTTAGTCCGGACCTCCTAACTCATTTCCAACCTTTCACTTTTTTTTCTTTGAACCCTTTCAGTACTCAGGGTCTCACATCATATACTATTGTCTTCCTTGGCCTTACTGACCTCCCTTAGTTTATGATTCTTCAAGGTCCATCTCTGTGGCTAGACCAGTGTCATAACTTCCTAATTTCTATGACGGTTTTTTTATGGCTGGGTCATAGTCCATCATATATACGTACCACATGTTTTTTTAAGCTTTCAACCTCTCGGTTTAGATTGTGCTTGTCATCTGCCTTGGCTATTGGAATCAGTGCTGCAGTGTTGGTTGGGGTGTGTGTTTCTGGTGACTGTTGGCCCCAAGGTCCTCGGGGCCTTGTTCCCTCCCAGGACTCTGGTCCTAGCTGGAGGACAACAGACAGTAGAGGTTTAAAAAGGGCTCGGTGAAGGGCACCCTGCCAGGCTCTCTCGACCCTATGCAGTCCAGCCATCTGACCCAAGCCTGCTCAAGCTCCAAGTTTTAAAAGCAGCCACTGTCTGGGAGGTCGGAGGGAAAAAAACAAACCGTGGCTTTTTCTAAATTTCTTTAATTTTATGCCTGTGATGTATTGGAGTATAATCGATGTGCAGTGTTTTTCTTGTCAGTGTATGGATGGCTTATTCATTTATAACATGTACGTAAAGCATATCTATGCTTTTTTGGATTCTTCTGCCATAGAAGTTATTATAGAGGTTGAGCCAACTTCCTTGTACTAAACATCAGGTCCTTTTGGAGCATCTATGGGAGATACAGATTTCTGTGGTTAGGCTGGTGATACAGATGTCTGTGAATATGTTAGTCTTGACCTCCTAATTCATCCCCAGCCCTTTCACTTTCTTTTTTCGCCTGGCAGGGCGGCCGGGGTGGGGGAGGGGGGGTGAGGTGGGGGGGGAAGCTCTTTGTGTTTGTATTCTCTGATTCTCTTTTTCTGTTGTAACTTACTTAGTTCCTTTGTCTTTTTAATTTTAATTTCCTTTGATTCAGGAAATCAACCCTTAATACTCACTGGTTCAGCTGAAGCTGAACCTCCAATACTGAGGCCACCTGATGCGAAAAGCAGACTCACTTGAAAGACCCTGATGCTGGGAAAGACTGAGGGCAGGAGGAGAAGGGGGTGACAGAGAATGAGATGGTGGGATGGCATCATCAACTCAGTGGGCATGAGCTTGAGCCAACTCTGGGAGATAGTGAAGGACAGGGGAGCCTGGCATGCTGCAGTCCATGGGGTCACAAAGAGTTGGACACGACTGAGCGACTGAACAATGACAAGTGGTATTACAAAATAATGGCTATATTTACCCTTTGCTGTTCACCACATCTTTGTAGCTTATTTATTTTATACATAGTGGTTTGTATCTCTTAATAGTTTTACTATCTGAGCCACCAGGGAAGACACTGTTCAAGGAACCAGTGAGATAGGAGACAGATGGGCTCCAGGTTGGAAATTCACAGCCAGCCTCCATTCTGCATTCCCTGGGGCAACAGATAGGTGGGTTCCAGTTGAGGAATTTACAACCAGCCCCCTGTTTGCTCTCAGAAATTGAAGTAACAACAGAAACAGAGTAAGTAGCCAGTCTTTGTCTCTTGTAAACACCTCAAGGGAATAATCTTGGCAAGGACAAAGAGAGGTAAAACCCTGTCTGAGTAAAGAATTAGGGAGAACACTACACATGTGCGGAAAGGCTCTTTGGAGTCAAAAGTCAGAGGATAATTCCAGGCCATAAAGAGCCTTGCTCCTCCCAGAAGCCTTCACTTCGAGATCCGTCTTGGCTAAGGTGTGTGTGCATACCCTATGGGTCCTGAGGCAAATTACTGGGATGTGGGAGACAAATGCGACTGGCCTGAGGGAAGACAAATACCTGGAGAACTGCCCCCTTATAAAGGATATAAACTTCCAAAGGCACGACTCTGTCTCTGAGGTCCCCCATGCACCTTTCCCCATGTACTTTTCTTTCTTTCTTTTTTTTTTTTAAATTTTATTTTTTTAATTTATTTATTTATTTCATTTATTTTTATTAGTTGGAGGCTAATTACTTTACATCATTGCAGTGGTTTTTGTCATACATTGAAATGAATTAGCCATGGATTTACATGTATTCCCCATCCCGGTCCCCCCTCCCACCTCCCTCTCCACCCGATCCCTCTGGGTCTTCCCAGTGCACCAGGCCCGAGCACTTGTCTCATGCATCCAACCTGGGCTGGTGATCTGTTTCACCCTAGATAATATACGTGTTTCGATGCTGTTCTCTTGAAACATCCCACCCTCGCCTTCTCCCAGAGTCCACAAGTCTGTTCACTTTTCACCTTCTGCCTCCTCACCTGAATTCATTCTTGACAAGGCAGGCAAAGACTAGGGACTTTAGCTCTGACTGCTGGCTCCTGTGGTCCAGTGGTTAGGACTCAGTCTGGGAAACTAAGACCCTGCTTCCAGCTATCGCTCGCTGCCACTTACCACTGTATGAGGTGGAAATGACCAGCACGCTGTCCTCCAGAGTGGCTGTCACCAATTTGTATTTCAAGTAGCACAGGAGAAGGGTTCCTGTTCTGCCACAGCGTCTGCAGCATTTAACGTTTGTGGAGTGTTTTAAAATGGCTGCTCTGACCGGAGTGAGTGAGACCTCGTTGCAGGGTTGACTGGACTTCCCTAATACTCACAGATGTTGACATCGTATGACTTTTTTCTTAAAGGATGTGAGTTAAAGGTACCTAATGAAATCGGCTCCCTGGACGTCTGCCCATTTTGATTTCTTTTTTGTGGACCACCCCTGGGGGACTTCCGGAGGGCAGTTGTTTATTTCCAGCCCCACGGACCTTGGGAATATGAAGTGCCCATCAGCGCGGCTTTTATAGTTGCTGTTACAAAAAATGTCCACAAGGAGGCAGCATTTCTTCATGTCCCACTTTCATTTTTCCTTTTTCTGGACCTCCATTGTTATTTTATTTTGGAGTAGAACTGATTTCTGATATTACATTTATCAGTTCTTTTGGGGGGTTCTCTTCTCCATGTAGATAATTAAACTGTGTTCCGTGGGCTACCCTGTACTATTCAATGGATTTATTTTGATCAACTGTCTGATAAATATTAATGAGCATGTGTTATTAGCAAAGTCTTAATTTATCCCTCAATCCTAAGATTTTTTTTTTTTATAATGATAAGCTTGTTTTCCAAGTTTGTGTCAGTTTCTCTTGTGTAATATCTGAAATTTGCATTCATTTCAAGAATATACCTGTCAGTGATACCCTGTGGTATTTGTCTTTCTCTCTCTGACTTCCTTTACTTAGTAAGGTCATCACTCTGTCCATCCGTGCTGCTGTCAGTGGCATTATTCTGTTCTGATTTACGGTTGAGTAGTATTCCAGTGTAGAGGAGCACCACTCGGTCCTCATTTTTCTGTTGATGGATTTCTTGGTTGAATTTGTTGCAGGGAAAAGGAAAAAAAAAGAGAAATGAGTTTTTTCTTTCACGTTCCTGAGAACAAAGATGATAAGGAGAACAGTGAGCAGGCCTGAAAGTTCCTAGTTTTTTTAACTTTGCTCCTAACTCTGCATGTCTGTAACTAAGTGTGCTTTTCTGCCCCCTAACCCTGCAGGAGCTATGCTTTGGATCTATTTTCCTTCTACTCTAGGCTAAATTCATCTCCTGTCTGGTGTCTACTTTTACTAACACCTTGCCCCTTGTAGTTGCACATCAGAAAGAAGGCTGCAGAACCACCGAACTGCCAGACTCAATTACGGGATTACTGACACCAGTTTATGACTGTCCTTGAAACCATGCAAGAGGAAGAAATCAAAATCCTATCACCTTTGTTCCTCATCACTGACTCCTGACTGTGAGCCCTCATCTTATATAAGCCTCTAAACTCCTCATGGGGGGGGGGCACAATTCTTGAGGCTCAAACCTAGTGTGTTCCCCTCTTCACCAACTGAGAATTAAAGCCACTGTTTGTTTCCTCCAACCCCTGTCTCCATATTTTTTATTTGGCTTCACCAGGCAGAGAAAGCCAATATTTTGTCCAGCAGCAATTCTAGTTCTTGGCCATTTTCAACTGCGCTGCCCTGAAAACAAGGGTTCATAGATTACTGTGAATTCTGATTTTCTCTGGCTCTAAGCCCAGACATGGGATTATGGGACCATGTGGTTTCTGGATGTTTAGTTTATAAGGAACCTCCTTTCTGGCTTTTATAGTTCCTGCACCCACTTACATCCACACCAAGGCTGTAGGAGAATTCCCTTTGGCCTCCATCCTCTTTAGCATGGGTTCTCTGTGGATGTTTTAGATGGTGGCCAGTCTGACCTGTGTGAGGTGATTTTTCATGGTAGTTTTGATTTTGTTGTTTTCAATTGCTCAGTCGTGTCCAACTCTTTTCAACCCTGTGGACTGCAGCACACCAGGCTCCCTGTCCTTTACCATCTCCTGGAGCTTGCTCAAATTCATGTCCACTGAGTCTGTGATGCCATCCAACCACCTCATCTTCTGTCATCCCCTTCTCCTGCCTTCAGTCTTTCCCAGCATCAGAGTCTTTTCCAGTGAGTCAGCTCTTCGAATCAGGTTGCCAAAGTCTTGGAGCTTCAGCTTCAGCATACGCATCAGTCCTTCCAATGAATATTCAGGATTGATTTCCTTAAGGATTCACTGGTTTGATCTCCTTGCAGTCCAAGGGACTCTCAAGTGTTTTTTCCAGCATTACAATTGGTAAGCATCCATTCTTTGGTGCTCAGCCTTCTTTATGGTCCAACTCTCACATCTGTACATGACTACTGGAAAAACCATGGTTTTGACTAGACAGACCTTTGTTGGCAACGCGATGTCTCTGCTTTTTAATACACTGTCTAGGTTTGTCATAGCTTTTCTTCCAAGGAGCAAGAGTCTTTTAATTCCATGGCTGCAGCCACCATCTGAGGTGATTTTGGAGCCCATGACATTATTATATTGTCACTGTTATACTGCTGCCTGATTCAGTTATGACGTACACATACAGCATATCTCTTCTTTTGAATTCTTTTACCATAGAGGAATTGCAGAAGATCTAGCAAAGCTCCCTGTGCTGAGCATCAGGTCTTTGTGGAGTATCTATTAGAGATACAGATTTCTGTGTATATGTTAAAGATACAAATTTTGGTATATATGTTAGACATACAAATTTTTGTTTATATCTGGAAGAAGAAAGCAAGGAAGGTGATTATCTATTACAGATACAGATTTCTGTGTATGTGTTAGCTACACATACAGATACATATTTCTGTGTATTCTCAGAGATTCTGAGATTTCTGTATTTGTGGGAGGAAAGTAGAAAAAAAAAGTGAAAGTGTTAGTCGCTCTGTCATATCTGACTTTTTGCCACACTATGGACCTAGCCTACCAGGTTCCTCTGTCCATGGAATTTTCCAGGCAAGAGTACTGGAGTGAGTAGCCATTTCCTTCTCCAGGGAATCTTCCTGACCCAGGGATCAAACCCAGGTCCCCTGCATTGCAGATTCTTTACTGTCTGAGCCACCAGGGAAACCCATTTGTGGGAGGAAGGGACAAGGAAAGAAGAAAGGAGGGAATCCTTTTGGATTATCTATTTTAGATTCAGATTTCTGTGTATATGTTAGTCACTACATTCTAATTCATCCTTGCTCTTTCAGTTTTTTTGAACCCTCTGTGTTTGAATTCTCAGAGTCTCCTTAGGTGTTGTAAATTAATTTGTCTATTTCTTTTCAAATTTTGCTTAGTATTCACATCATATGCTGTTTTTTTCCCTCTGTCTGCCTGACTTAATTTAGTGTATGATTTTCCAAGGTCCATCCTTGTAGTGACCAGTGGAATAATTTCTTAATTTCAGTGGTGGTTTTTCATGGTTGAGTAATGGTCCATTGTATATATGTACCACATTTTTAAGCTTTATTGTATCAGTGGACATTTTCCTGGGTCTGTGTTTTGGCTACTGTAAGTAGTGCTGTGGTGAACATCGGGGTGCATGTGTTTTTTTGAATGATGGTTTTCTTGGGATATAGGCCTACATGTCGGAACATCATCCCTGCATTGGGAAGATCCCCTGGAGAACGGACCCGCTGCCCACTCTAGTATTCTGGCCTGGAGAATTCCATGGACTGTATAGTCCATGGGGTCGCAAAGAGTCGGACACAACTAAGCGACTTCCACTTTCATTTTCTCTGGATATAGGCCCACATGTGGGGACATCAGATCCTAGTCTTAGCTCTCTAGAAAAAAAAATTTTTTTTCTGCCAGGGGAGGCTGTCCTTTCTAGTGGCTATTGCTAATGTCCCTTCCCACGTCCTGTGTAGGTGGGTTCTCTTTCCTCCTGGCTTGCTCCTGCATTATTGCTGTGACATGTGAGAATGGCCATTCTGAATCGTGGGATTTGATTTGTCATCGTCATTTTGATTTTCAGTTTTGTGCTTGTTGGCAGTGCACACCCCCCTGAGTCAGTTGTGAGGCATATCTGTTGTTTTTTTTTATTCTTTTTCCATAGAGGAAATTGCACAAACTCAAGTAAAGTTTAGTGTGATGATCATCAAGTTTTTGTGGAGTATCTGTTAGAGATATAGATTTTCTGCACATGTGGAAGGAAGAAAGGAGATAAACTCTCCTTTTTTTTTTTTTTAGGCTCTCCTTTTTTGGGTTTGAAGTCTCAAAGTCTCTTTTTGTCTTGTAAATTAGTTCCCTGTATCTGCTTTTTTCTTTTGCCTAGAATCGACTCATATGCTATTGTCTTTTTCTGTCTGGCTGACTCCACTTAGTGTATGATCGGCCAAGTTTCATCCCTGTGCCTAGCAGTGGAGTAATTTCAATTTCAGTGGCAGTTTGTCTTGGGTGAGTAGCAGTCCATTATCTACATGTACCACTCTTTTAAGTTTTAGCCTGGTGGTGGACTTCTGGCTGGTTCTGTGTCTTGGCTATTGTAAGGAGTGCTGCAGTGCAGGTTGGCGTGCATATGCCTTTGTGAATGTTGGTCTTCTCAGGACACTGACCCAGGTGTGGGAAGGTCAGATCATAGGATTAACTGCCTCAGGGGGCTGTCTCTACCCCATCCAGTTCTTCCTCCCTTCCTATTGAATGTCTGTTTAGCTTTTTTGGCCAGGTGTGTGTTTCAATCCTTACCAAATTTTAGTTGGGTTGTTTGATATAATTTGGTATAATTTGAGGAGAGAGAACCCACCTACACAGTACGTGGGAATGGACATTAGCAATAGACACTAGAAAGGACAGCCTCCCCTGCCAGAAATTTTTTTTTTTAGAGAGCTAAGCCTAGGATCTGATGTTCCCACATGTGGGCCTATAATCAGAGAAAATGAAAGTGAAAGTCGATTAGTCGTGTCCCACTCTTATCTGATATGTGATTTGAAAATAGTCTTTTCCAGTTTGTGGTTCATTTTTTAATTTTTCTGAATAAGGTGTTTCATAGAGTAGAGGCTTTATAAGTAATTTTATAATTTTTATTTTTCTGAGGAAGTTTGCAATTTTCTGAGGAAATTTTTAATTTTCTGGGGAAGGTTTTAATTTCCTGAAGAAGTTTTAAATTGTATTAAAGGGAGTAATTGTATGGAAGTAATTCTATGAATATTATTAATGTATGAAAGTTATTTATTTTAGGAAAGTAAATAATTTTATGTGTTATTCAATTTATGAATATTAATTTTATGGAAATTTTCAATTTTATGGAAGTTATTAATTTTATGGAATATCTGTGTAGTGATATAAATATTTATCTACCTAGACATGTAAACATCTATCTACAGATGTTCTCTATATATTGATATATATATCTATGTACATATTTAGATAGATATATGTATATGTCTAAAAAGTTCTCTATATATTGATATAAATATCTGTGTACATATCTGTTTATATTCTTTGTCCAGGTGTGTTTTTCAATCTTTACCAAATTTTAAGGAGCTGTTTGGTATAATATGAGTACAGATCCTTTCTCTGATATGTGTTTTGGAAATAGTTTCTTCCAGTCTGTGGTTCATCTTTTGGTTTTCTGAATAAGGTGTTTCATGGCATGGATGCAGTCACCATCCACAGTTTTTTGGAGCCCAAGAAAATAAAATCTGCCACTGTTTCCATTTTTTCCCTATCTATTTGCCATAAAGTGATTGGACCAGATGCCATGATCTTAGTTTTTTGAATATTGAGTTTTATTCCAGTTTTTTCACTCTCCTTTTCCACCTTCATCAAGAGGTTCTTTAGTTCCTCTTTGCTTTCGGCTGGTAATATCTGCATATCTAATCTGACATTGTTAATATTTCTCCCAACAGTCTCGATTCCAGCTGTGCTTTATCCAGCATGGCATTTCGCCTGATGTACTCTGCCTAGAAGCTAAGTAAGCAGGGTGGCCATATAGAGCCTTGACGTACCCTTTCCCAATTTTGCACCAGTCCATTGTTCCATGTCTGGTTCTAACTGTTGCTTCTTGACCTGCAAACAGGTTTCTCAAGAAGCAGGTTGGGTTGTTTGGTATTCCAGTCTCTTTAAGAATTCTCCACAGTTTGTTGTGATCCACACAATCAAAGGATTCAATTCTTTGAAAGTTTAAAATTGTATGATATAAAAATATATACCTATATTTTATATATGACTTATATACCTCTATTTTTATGTATGAGGTATGTACCTATATTGTCATATAAGAGATATATACAGATATTTTCACATAAGACATACATATCTATACTGCCATATATGAAATATATAACTATTTTCATGTATGAAATACATATGGAATACAACTCAGAAAAATAGCAAAAAAAACAGGAAACTTTTAAAAATAGATGATGTCATCAAGAAACAGGTTTTGATGAGGTTTTTAAAAGTCACATAAAATGGTTTTACTCCTTTAACTTTTTCTTTGTGTGTGCTCAGTCACTTCAGTTTTGTCTGACTCTGTGTGACCCCCATGGACTGTAGTCTGCTAGGCTCCTCTGTCCATGGGATTCTCCAGGCAAGAATACTGGAGTGCCATACCATCCTCCAGGAATTTTTGCTTTACCAACAACTTACCAGTCAGCCAGTTAATCTAACTACAGGATAAATATGTTTTTTTAAAAACTTAAGTTGCTTCTGTCAATGTTTCTCTGACAAAACATTTTATTTTTGTTATTTTTGATGCCTACGTATTAATTTCAGTTCATAATGTCCTATAAATTGAAGTCATTTAGCAATCTTCTAGTTTCAAATTAAGACTTTTGTATGTATTAAGACTTAAGACAGGGTACTTGATTTAAAAGTGTTATCTTAAGTCTCTAAAAGCTTTACTCCAAAGGCACAGTGATTTTCATTATGGTCAATGGACTGGTATTTAAAAATCTACTAAATCAGAAGCTCTGGAGTTGCTGTCTGACAATTTTAGTTAATAAGCCATCCAGGTAAATCTGAAGCACTGATGCAAACTGAAGTTTGAGGACTATTGCCCTGGAAGTCCTGTCAAAACACATATTTTACCAAGTCCAAGTTGTAAGAATTAGTATCATTATAAGTTATAGTAAAACTTTCATTCTCTTGGTTAAAGAACAATAGCAAAGGAAAATATATACATATATATTTATCTACAAATATATATGTATATATTCATATATGAAATATATACCTAGGTTTTCATATTTGAATATACTGAATACTACTCAGCTATAAAAAAGATTAAAATAATGGCATTTTTAGCAGTATAATCCTAAAGATTTCATAATAAGT